GCCAGTCCAGGTCTCCTTCTCCCTGGGGAGGCAGGGACTCACAGGCAGTCACTCTGACACAGCCAAGTGTGCATTCAGTCCAAGCGTGAGTCAGGAAAAAGGATTCTGCAACCTCTGATTTGCTCAAGGAACGTTGGGGCCTTCCATTTAAGGGGGCCGTGCTGCAGGATGCCACGTAGTAGGAGGGAGGAAGGGGGAGGTGGCAGGCCAGTGAGTGGGTGGGAGAGCTCATGTCCCCTCCTCCCAGAGCAGGCCCCACCCCTGCCCTCTGCAGACACTCAGGAACTCCAGTGCGGATCCTGACACAATACACAGGGACCCATGCTTACTGAGTGCCACATAGACAATGGGTGTGTCCATGTAGCCATATAGTGCACACAGCACTCAGGGACAAGCTCTTCTTCAAGTCATCTGTTTACACACACATCTGTGTAACTCTGCAGCAACCCAACATGAGCTACACGTGTGCCCAATGAAGCAGTTGAAACTCTCACAGTCTTGATATCTGGTCTTTTCCCAGCTTTCTCCTTCAGGCCTCCATCCTCTTCCCTTTTTTTTTCTTTCTCCCATGTAGTGTGCATACCTGGAATAACAGGATGCCCAGGTGGCCACAGAGCTATCCTTCCGGGCTTAGCACCTCTGATACTCAAAAATGAGCTCTGACCTGCCTCCTCACCACCCCCCACCACACCAGCTCTAATGTGCTTCAGCCTGGTGTAGCACCTTAGCTATGAATCAAAAAAGCTCTTACTTGGGGGTCAGGAGACCTGGAATCCCATCCCGCTCTGCCACTTCTTGTCTGGGTGCCCATGACCTTGTCTGCCTCAGTAACACAATACTGCTGTCTCAAGGATGAAAAACACAGGTCAGGATCTCCAATTCCCACCCTGCTCACCCTCACTGTCACCTCTGACGTCACCTAAGGAACTGTAACTGACCTTTCCTTCTCTGTCCCAGAGACTGAGAGTTGTAAAGTCTGGGTCAGGATCTAGCCCCCACTCTCCTCCACAGCTCAACTCTGTATATCAGTCTCCTCAGCTGTGACGTGGGGATCTGAGCAGTCTGGGTGGATCGGAGGGATCGCTTTATATCTTATTTTATTTTAATTTTTATTTGGCGGGGGGGGAGGGTCTCCCTATAGCTCCAGGTAGCCTGGAACTCACTATGTAGACAAAGCTGACCTTGATCTCACAGACATCAGCTTGCTTCTGCTTCTTGAGTACCAGGATTAAAGGTGTATACCACCATACCTGGTGGGACCTAATTTAAAGAGGAAGGAGACTTGGTACATACTCCTAGCAGGAAGAGGTATAAAAGGTATTCGAAGCTGAGATGTAGCTCAGTGCTTGGTTCTTGCCTAGGATGTACACCCTAAGTTCAATCTTCAGCAAAGGAAGAGAAGGAGGACAGACAAGAAAGACAGAAATAAAGAAAACACAGAAAGAAGAAAGAAAACTTAGCTGGAGAAATAGCATTTATGTCTCAGGCTTTAAAAACGTGTTCACTGACTCTTTCCTTGTAATAGCACTAGCTATTCAGAGATGGGGTAGAAGTGCCCCTTCTGGAAGGGACCCAATCTAGAGCAGAGTGAAAAGTGTGGAGCACTGCCTCCCTTCTGCCTGTGTGCTATCCCTGAACAGTCCGGGAGAAACACTGAAAGCCGTTGCAGAGGGGAAAATTGAATAGAATGTAGAGCGGGAGACTTGTCTCTGACTGCCTGTGAACTTGGGGACTGTATGAATGCTTCACCTATTCACACACCTTGAAGATGTGAAATGACTTGGACTCTTTGTGAAATAATTTGTTCTTAGAATTTATCTTATGCCAGGCATGTGGCATGGTGCATGCCTTTAATATCAGGACTTGGAAGGCAAAGGCAGGTAGATCTCTGTGAGATGGAGGCCAGCCTGGTCTACATATTGAGTTTCAAGCCAGCTGGGGCTACAGGGAGACCCTGTCTCAACAAAACAAAACAAAACAAAACAGCAACAAAAGGAATTTATCTTATGGAAATATTTTTAGGTATATGCAAATGTACTTGAGACTTATATAAAAAACTGTTCACCCAGGCTGGGCATAATGGCTTACCTTTTATTCCCAGCATTCAGGAAACAGAAGCAGGTGGATCTCTGTGAGTTTCAGGCCAGCCAGGGCTTCATAGTAACATCCTTTTCTCAGAAAAAAAAAAAAAATGTTCACCCAAGCCTTTTTTTGTAGTAGCAGAAAATTGGAGGCAAGGTCAGTAAGGAATGGAATATTAGCAGATGTCAGAAACACGAAAGTTGTTGTAATCCCCAGGCAAAGAAGGATAGCTTAATGGACTGGTGGATGAAAAAGAAAACAGTTTCTAAAGCAGCATGCTTGTGAAAATTCTATCTTCAGAGCTACGAATGTCTGAGGGGTGTACATGTTTCACCAAAAAGTCAGCTCTAGTTACCGTGCAATTTCCAATTAATTACTAAAGCACTTTCACTAGTTAGAGGACTGGGGTTTATTTATTTATTTATTTATTGATTGATTGATTGATTGATTGATTGTCTCTTTTGAGACAGAGCTTCTCTGTAGCCCCAGCTGGCCTGGAACTCACTGTGTAGACTAGGCTGGCCTCGAACTCAGAGATTCACCTGCCTCTGCCTCCCAAGTGCTGGGGTTAAAGGCTTGTACCACCTCACCTGGCCCGTTTACTTTTTAATATTTAAAAAAAAATTTTTTTGTGTGTGTGTGTATCGCCTGCATGTATGTAAGTGCATTCATGTCATGCAATGTCCGTGGAGATCAGAAGAGAGTATCAGAGCCCCTGGAACTGGAGTTATAGATGGTTGTTAGCTGCCATGTGGATGCTGAGAATCTAACCTGGGGCCTCTGCAAGAGCAGTCAGTACTCTTAACTCCTGTGCCATCTCTCCAAGCCCTTGTTTACTTTTTAATGAATGTTTATTATAAGCAATTAATGAAATGTATAGACATGTATAATATTCACAGAGAAAGGAATACTCTTAAATGGCTAGAAAAACTCTTAAATGGCTAAATGATGTTTATCTGTATAGACAGAAACAGACATCACCTCTATTTTCTTTCTCTGCTCTGGATTTTTTTCAATATCATGTATTACTTTTGTGATCAACTCAAAACATCAATAGAGTGAACAGAAAAAAAAATAATCTGGGGCTGGAGAGATGGCTCAGCAGTTAAGAACACTGGTTGTTCTTACAGAAGATCCGGGTTCAAATCCCAGCACCCACATGGCAACTAACAACTGTCCGTAACTCTAGTTCCAGGGGATCCGACAGCCTCTCCTGTCCTCCTTGGGCACTGCATGACACAGGTACACTTACCTACATGCAGGCAATACATGCATACACATAAAATAAAAATAGTAAAATATTTTTTTTTAAAAATCCAGTGGACGGCCATACTGTGGCCTGAATGGTATCCCTGTGTGAGGGGGATCTAGGGAAGCTGCTGGCCTTTGGGGACCTCTGGATAGGACAATGGGGCTGCCTTACTGCAGCCCTGGGTGGGAGCCTCAGGCAGCAAGTACCTCTGGCCAGGTTTCCTATTTCCTACCAGCCCAGGCTGCTGCATGGAGACAGAGGGGAGGGAGAGAGGGAGGGAGGGAGGGAGGGGGAGAGAGAGAGAGAGAGAAATCAGAGATCACTCAAGAGCTCAGAAAAGGAGGCTGGAAGTTGGACCCTGCAGGGTTAGGGAATGTGAGGTGGTAGATTGGGCCTGGAGGCCCAGAGGAGGATAAGAAGGGAGGAGGACTCCCTAGGGTGCAGCCTGGGCAAGGAGGTGGTGGCAAGTGGTCCCTTCACAGAGATGGAGATCGGGTAGGGGGTGCTGTGGGAGGTGTTGGGCTCCCTTGTCTATAGGCTGGAGACATCCAGTAGGATGTGCCTGTGTCTGGCACTGAGGATGAGAGCCCAAATGGAGTGATGGCACAGGACGGGAATGGATGCTATAGATGGAAGATTGGATCAGAGCAAGCAAGACTGAGTGAGAAAAACTGAGGCTAGGATACACAGGCCTGTGTCAGGGAATGGGGAAGCCTCCACAGTTCCTAGGAGGGGAAACCAAAGCGAAGGCCAGAAGGCTCTTGGTGGAGGCAGAGCTAAAGGAAGGCCATGCTGGATGCTATGGAGCAGCTCTGCCCTGTTCCTCCTCCCCAGATGGGTGGACCAGTCTTCCGGAGATCCTTGGTAGGTGGGGTGGGCCAGAGCTGGGGTCTGTACACTCGGCTAGGCCCCATTGGCTGCTGAGGCTGGAGCTGCACAGAGACAGGCCAAGCTGATGCAATGTGAGCCTATCATTGCAGGCCTTGTAGAGGGGATGCAGCTGTGCTGGCTGCTACCCAGCGGTTCCAGCAGGATGGGGGGAAGTGGCTCTTAAAGCATGCTGGCGCCTGGGACTGCTTCCCAGCCCAAAGGCTGTCTGTTCTCAGCAGGGAAACACGCCTTTCATGCGGGTCGCTGCCGAGAGAGAGAGAGAGAGAGAGAGAGAGAGAGAGAGAGAGCTCTCAAACTCATTTTTAACATTTATCTGTGACTTATATGGATCGTATTCATTCATTTAAACTGCAATACCACATCCTGCTGTGGATAAACTACAATGGAGGGGGAGGGGGAGGAAGGAAAATACACCATGAGGAGGGAGCCACAGCTGATGCTGGGCCACAGCTGTTCCCCGTGGCTCAGAACTCTCAGAGCCTGATGGGGAGGCAGAGAAAGGGAGCCTCCTGAAGAGCAGAGCAGGGCCATCTGTGTGGAACTTTGGGAAAGTCCCCATCCCTCTGGGATTCAGGTTCTTCATCTCCTTACTTGGCACAAAATTGTAAATGAGTACTCAGAGGCAGGGGGTGGGGTGGTGGTGGTGTTGGTGTTGGGGTGACTCCCAGAGGGCAGAGGAGACCAGTCTGAGCCCATAAAACAAGAGAAAGGATAGAGACTGCCTCCTCCTCCTCCTCCTCCTCCTCCTCTTCCTTTTTTTAGACAGGGTCTCATGTATCCCAAGCTGGCCTTAAACTCCCTATATAGCAGAGAGTGCCCTTGAACTTCTGCTCCCCCTCCCTCTGCCTCCCAAGTGCTGGGATTGCAGGTGTGCCACCATGCCTAGTTTCTTTTTTCTTTCTTTCTTTCTTTCTTTCTTTCTTTCTTTCTTTCTTTTTTGAGACAGGGTCTCCCTGTAGCTCCAGCTGGCCTGGTATTCACTATATAGACTGGCCTTTGTTTTTGAGACAGGGTCTCCCTGTAGCTCCAGCTGGCCTGGTATTCACTATATAGACTGGCCTCAAACTCAGAGATCCTCCTGCCTCTGTCTCTCGAGTGCTGGGATTAAAGGCAAATGCCATCACGCCTGGCTCAAGATTGCAGGTGTGCCACCATGCCTGGTTTCAAAGGAGCATCATCTGATGCCCATCACTGCCCCCAGCCCTTGTGTGCTCATTCCTTCCCTACTGTGTGGCTGCAGAGGAGACTGCATCTCTAGTAGTCTGGGAATGACAGGTCTGGATTGGGTTCCTCAGCCACACACACCAGAGAGGATATCAGGAGGCTCATGTTGGCACCTGTGTTACCAAGGCTGCTTGTTGGCACTGTCTTTAAATTGATTACTTGGCTAATCCTGCCCAGGCCCCACGCTGGGGCCTTTGAGCTGTTGGGACAATAAGGAAAGGAGAGCTGGACACATGGTGGTTAGGGTTGGAGGAATCTTGAGATACATTTGAGGGGTTAAAGGGTTTTATCAAAGCACAGGAGTTCAGGAACCTATGTGAGACACTGGGAAGGCTTTGGGGAACAGGCAAAGCCTTTGAGTGCTCAGGGCCCACATTTGCCAAAGCCTGGATGATCCTCACCTCTCAAATCACTGTCCCAAGCCCCAGGGTCATTTGTGAAGCCTAGAGAATATTTTTTTTTAAACATTTATATGTGTATATATACACACATATACACAAAAGAACATGTGTGGAGGTCAGAGGAAAACTTACAGGAGTCAGTCTCTCCTTCTAACATATGGGTCTCAGAGCTCAAACTCAGGTTGTCAGACTTGGTGTAAGCACCTTTACCCACTAAGCCATCTCATCAGCCCAATGGTTCTTAAAAGCTTGTCTCCAAGTTGCTCTAAGGGACAATACTAAACAAAACAAACCTACTGGTTTGAAAGGCCTTGTAAGCTGGACTGCTCAGGCACAAGCTCTGTTGCAGCACCAGCTCATCAGGACACATCCCTCCCATACTTTCCATGTCTCTCTCCCTCCTTTCTAGCAGTTCAGAGACCCCCTCCCCTCCCCAGAGCCTGGGGAAGTGGCTCCCCCATTCAGCTGAGGCTCTCCCATGCCCAAGAACTGAGTACATGTGAGCCCCATTAAGTTCTTTATTTATTCTTTCTTTCATGTAGCAAGTACGTTCTGAGGATGTGCTATGGACCAGGTGCTGTTCTACGAACTGGAATGTAAGAGTGAGCAGACCAGCCTTTGCCTGTAAGGCCTCCATGCTGGTTTCAAATCAAGAAACAAACACAATAATGATAACATCAGAGAGAGACAAAGGCACGTGGAAGAGGTGGGAGAAGTCCAAATATCGGACTGCTTGCCATAAACTGAGGACTTCCACAAAACAAATTTATTCTTAAGATTCTATAGGACAGAATATTAAATATGGCTCTCCAGGGGTGAATCTACTTGTATTCGTTATTTTTCTTGTTGCTGTGACAAAAATACCCGGTAGAGGCAACTAAAGAAAGGAAGGATTGGAGCTGGAGAGATTTCTCAGCAGTTAAGAGCACTGGCTGCTCTTGCAGACGACCTGAGTTTGATTCCCAGCACACACATGGCACCTAACAACCATCCATAACTCCAGATCCAGGGGATTCAGCACCTTCTTCTGACCTCCACACCTCCACAGGCACTGCATGACATGGGTGCACTTACATACGTGCAGACAATACATTCATTTGCATAAAATAAAAAATAAAATATTTTAAAAATAATAAAAAAGGGAAGGTTTATTTTGATTCATGGTGTGAGGAGATACAGTTCATCATGGGGGGAAGTCACTGAAGTGGAGGTGTGACACAGCTGTCACACATCTGTGTCTGCAGTCAGAAAGCAGAAAGAGACAAATACAGGTGCTCAGCTCGCTTCCCCTTTCCCTTTTGATTAAGTTCAGGCCTCCAGCCCACAAGGGGGAAACACTGTCATAGACACACCCAGCCCTATATCTCCTAGGCGATTCCAAATCCAGTCAAGTTGGCAGTGCAGTTAACCTCCACCCTGCCCTTCCAGGCCTCTGTGGCTCTGTGGCTCACAGCCTCTGCTTCAGCCTTCAAAGCCAGCAGCATGTTTGTCCAGCCTCCCCTCTCTCTGACTTCTGCTTTCCTAGCTCGTTTTCTCTGACACTCTCTTTTAAGGACTCTTCTGAGCACATTGGTTACCCATCTCAAAATCCAAAACCTAATCACACGTCAACTCCCTTCACCATGCAAGGGACGGAATTTCCAGGCTTCAAAGATGAGGGCACAGGCATCTTTGAAGAGCCTTCATTCTCCTACTAATGAAGCCAATCCTGTGCCGCCCTTGTGGTGGGAGGCCAGCATCCCCAACTGAAACTTGAAAGCTGAAGTGCAAAGGCGCCCAAGGCTAGAGCGACCCAGGCACACTCTAGAAGCCACAATAAGGCCAGCTTTCTAGAAATCAGGCTCTAATCAGCTTGATTTTAATCAACCCATTCATGAGACCTCTGTGCATAGTTGTGGTGTACTCCAGGAACACTAAGCTTCAGGATATTCAAGGAGATTCAAGGTCATGTCCTCCATCCCCTGCTCCTAGCTATCACACTTCATGAGCTCAGAGCAAGAGGCCTGGATGCCTGAAGGGGCCTATGGGTAATCTTCTGGGCCAGGCAGCCAGACTGACTAATGAGGGGCATATCCAGCCCCTGGTACCTGAGTATAATCTTGCTTTCTCTTCCTCAGTGAAGGTCAGTATTGTGTGGATAAGGGAGGATGGGCCAGGAAAGCTGGCCTTGGGCAGTGGTAGGAAGCTTCAATAGCCATATTGTTGGCTCCTGGCTATGGCAAGGGAGGGGGTCAGGGGCTGCTGAATGAGTCATCTGTGTTTTGTGGGTGGAGTGCTCAGGTCAGGGGCTCTCTTCAAGATGTCTCCCACTTCTCATCCTACCTCCAACTTTGCCCAGACCTTGCTTTTTGGTTTGTTGGGCATCTTTCAGGGACCATGGCTACAAATGGCCAGTTCTCTATGACACTGGCTTTTGGATGGTAGCCTTCTCAATTGAGAGTAAGCTCTTCAGATAAACCAGGAACTGTCTGCCTTCATTATCACCAGTACAAGTCAGCAGCCAGCACTAACCTAGAACTGGGCTTAGAGAAAGTACTCCATGTATGCATGCAATGGATGATGGAGAGATGGACACACGGATGCAGGGATAGACACTTGGATGCTGGGATGGATATGTGAATGTAGGGATGGACACATAGATGCAGGGATGGACACAGAGATGCAGGGATGGATACTCGGATGCTGGGATGGACACATGGATGCAGGGATGGACACTCAGATGCGGGGATGAACATGTGAATGCAGGGATGGACACATGGATGCAGGGATGGACACTCAGATGCGGGGATGAACATGTGAATGCAGGGATGGACACGTGGATGCAGGGATGGACGCATGGATGCAGAGATGGATGACACGGTCGCCCTTGCGCCCTGGCACCTCCTCTTTGACCTTTGCACCTGCCTGCCTACTCACTAGCCTCCAGCTTCCTCTGCACTGTTGCCAGTAAATCATTCTAACACACCTTCTAGTAAGAAGCTTTCTGGGGTTTACTGATGCCCTCAGGAGGCAGCCCAGCTCCTGGTCTGGCACCAAAGCCTTATCCTACACCTGCCAGCCTTGCTGGCTCTCCCTCCCCCACTCAGTTCTCTCCTTCCCCTCAAGTACAATGGTGTTCCCAGAATGTTTTTCATCCTGACTCTCCACTTCCACTTGTATGAATCCTTCCATCTCCAGCCTCCTCTGCCAGCTTTGTTCCCTGGGCTTCCCTCACCCCAGCGCCAGCTACAATCCTGTTAGCACACCTGCCTTCCTTTGCATAACCTAAGGCCTCAATGGTAAGAACTGAGCTGACCATACTTCTGTCATCCCCAGAGCCCTGGGAGGGGGGAGAGAATGAGGTGAGGGGACCATCCCCCAAGACAGTGGGCGGGTCCAGAGGCCTGACCAGTGGACATTACTGCCCTCTGGTGGTCATTTTGGGTCACTGTGCCTTTCTCTTGCTTTCCTGTGATTGGGAATATGGTCAGGACCAACCTCATCAGCATCACCTTGGAACTTGTTAGAAGTGAAAATTATTGGGTCACATACCAGACCTATGAACCAGAAAATTAGAGGGTGTGGTCTAATGATCTAGGTGTTAACAAGCCCTCCATATTCCCAGGTGGGAAACCACTCCTAGGAGCCCCAGATAAAGGAGGCGGGTGCTACCTGGTAGCAAGGCTAGAGAAAATACAGGATGCCCAAGTGAGGTTGAATTTCCAAGAAACAATGAAACATTTTGTTGCAAATGTGGTATCAGACATCCAAACTAAAAAAAAAAAAATCATCCATTGTTTATCTGAATTTCACATTTAACTATGTGTTTGATTTTTATTTCTAAAGCTGGCAACCCTGTGCAGGGACTTTCTTGTACTGGTGTCATTCTCTACCGTCACCATCTTGAATTATTTTTTATTTTACAATTTATTTTATTTATTATTAGTCTCTCTGTGTCTACCTGTCTGTCTCTCTCTTGGCTCTGGGGGTGGTGGTAGTGGCATATGCATGTCATAGAGAATGTGTGGGGGAAGTCAGAGGACAATTTCAGGAGTCTGTTCTGTTCTTCCACCATGGGTTCTGAGGATCAAACTCAGGTTTGCACAGCAAGCACTTTTACCAGCGGAGCCATCTTATCAGCCCCCATCTTGAATCCTTTTTTTTTTTAAGATTTAAAAAATTGGTTTAAATTATGTGTGTGTGTATGTGTATGTGTGATTATGTGCATATGAATCTGGGTGCCCGAGGAGGTCAGAAGAGGGTGCTGGATTTACAGGTGGTTGTGAACTGCCTGACATGGGTGCTGGGAACCAAACTCAGGGTCCTTGGAAGAGCAGTAAGTACTCTTAACCACTGAGTCATTTCTCTCGCTCCCATCTTAAATTTTAATAGTTACTTTTGTTTGTTTGTTTGTTTGAGACAAGATCTTCCCGTAACCTTATCTGGTCTGGAACTTGATATGTAGACCAGATTGGTCCCGATCTCATAGAGATCCACTTCCCTCTGCCTCCAGAGTGCACAGGCATGCACACCTGGCCTTCATAGTTATTTTTAAGTCGGGCATGGTGGCCTACTCCTGGAATCCCAACTTTTGTGGAGGTGGAGGCAGGATGACTGAGCATTCGAGACCAGCCTGGCATACATTGGGAGTCCCAGGTCAGTCTCAACTATGTAGGGAAACCCTGTCTCACAATCAGTAATTTTTTAAACAAGAAGCCCGCATTTCCACTTTGTGCTGGGTTCTGTAGGACACAGCTGGTCCTAGTAAACCAGGTGTGTTCACCAGAAATAAAAATTGAACACCTCGTTCATTTTAAGTCCCTCACAATGTCTCATCCAGAGTACTAGGGAACTGACGCTTAAAAGCAGGAGGTCTGGGACCCTCCTCAGCTGAGCTATGCCTTCCCATTTTCTGCTCAGCTCAGCTCACTCACTTCCCACCTTCCTCCCTTTGCCCTGACTGCAGTTCCTACCTCAGCACCTCTGTTCCTGTTCTTCCTAGTCCACCATCCACATACTAAAATGAAGTTCCATATCACCTGTTCTAAGCTTTTCTCCTTGCACCCTTTGCTGTGGCTTGTAGGACGATCAGTGGCCCCTTCACAGAGCACTTTCCATCATCTTCCCACATCATTCAAACAATCAGCCTCTGGCAATACCTCACTGTATGCTGTGGGCAAGATCTGCCTTCAGCTCATGGAAGAAGAGCTGAGTTAATACCCAACTGTGGAATGATTTTCTGAGCACCTACTATGTGCCCAGCACTGTCTCTGCCTCCCAATTGCTGGGATTAAAGGCATGCATGTGCCACCATGCCCTGTTCAAGCCTCATTTTTCTTAATGCTTCAATCTCTAGCCAGAGTCCAGAGGCTCCTAGTAAAGTATGGCGGCAAATGACTGGGAACCAGCAGGTTGTGGCTGTCTGTGAGAACTGTGGCAGGTCCTGACTAGGCCACAGCTCAGGTCCATCTGATTGATTTGCCCAGAAATACCAGATATGGGACTTTTAAGACTGAAATGGGAATAGTCCTGAGAGAGAGTCCCGACAAGGGAACAGAGGGTCGCCTTGCAACAGTTATCAGGCAACATTCCGCTGCCTGGTGGAGGGGTGGAGACTTCAGGACCATGGGTGAAGGACAACTGGAAAGAGCAAGGGATGTCAGTGGGTCCAGGCCCATTGGTGACATGCGCAAGTTGGCCTGGGTGTGATAGCCTTAGGCATCATAAAAACAGCAGGGCCCAGGTCAGGCATGGTGGTGCACGCCTTTAGTGCTAGCACTTGGGAGGGGAGGCAGAGGCAGGCGGATCTAAGTGAGTTCAAGGCCAGCCTTGTCTACATTGTGAGTTCCAGGCCAGCTCGGGCTACAGGGAGACCCTGTCTCAAAAAAAAAAAAAAAAAAAAAAGAAAAAGAAAAAAAAAAGTAGGGCCCAGCCATGAGAGTAACCAGGGTTTGATCCCATTTCATAGTGGGTGAACAGCCTTGGGTCACTTGCCTAACATCTCTGAGCCGCTTTCATTTCCTCTTTAAAATGAGATCACATCCACTTGGCAGGGATGTTGCAAGGATGACAATGAGACAACTCAGGAAGGGTAAAGCATTACTATAGGGTTCAATTGTAGGAGAACCCCAGAATAACAGTGGCTAGAATAAGGAGGTTCCTTATGGATAAATAACTGCAAATAGATGGTCCAGGGGTGATGTGGGGGCTCTTTCATTAATCCCTTAGCATTTAGGCACCTTCTAGCTCCTGGCTTCTACATCCTGAGGGTGTGGACCTTGTCTCCAAAGACCAAGATGACAACCAAAGCTCAAGCCATCATATCCATCTTCCTGATTGCAGACAGAAAAAGGACCAAATATGTGCATGCCTGTCTCTCTAAGGGCACTTGCTTACAAAGCAATTCTCCTTACATTCCGTTCATTCTAACTCTGGTCCTGGAACCACAGATAGCTGCAAGAGTCTGTGGAATGTTCTCTCTCTCTCTCTCTCTCTCTCTCTCTCTCTCTCTCTCTCTCAGACTGTTGTTTTGGTCTTCCAGACAGGGTCTTCCTGTAGCCACAGCTGGCCTGGAACTCTCTATATAGACCAGGCTGGCCTTCATCTCACAGAGATCTGCCTGCCTCTACCTTCTACATGCTGGGATTAAAGGCATGTGTTACCACACCTGGTTGTACTCTTTGATTAAGCTCAGGAACAAATTGGGAGTGCTGTCACCATGGAGGAAGGAGGGTATGGACATCGGAAGTGCATAGCACAGAGCCTGGATCACTTCAGAAGCATGCAGCAAATGTGAACTTCTTTTCCCTTTAGCATTTGCTGACCTTCTCCCAATGTATGAAAGTCAGTGGCTATGTGTCTGAAACCAGCATACTCTATCCTGGGTGCCTAGAAGGAGAGAAGGGACAGGGGAACGGAGCTAAGACTAGGAAATAAGGGGCAGGGGCATCTCTGGCTCATAATATCCCAAGGCTCAGCATGTGCTAATCCAAATCTGAAGGGCCATTCTGAGCTCTCAGCTCAGCCATGGGGTGGGGGGTAGGGGATGGTGTCGGGGGTGTAGAATGGAGATAAGTGGATCCCTGGGCCTGGATGACCAGCCAGCCTAGCCTATTTGATGAGCTCTAGGCCAAGTGAGAGACCCTGCCTCAAAACACAAGGTGGATGGCGCCTATGAACACCACCAGAGTTTCTCTTCTGGCCCTCCACAGGCAGAGAGTTTCTCTTCTGGCCCTCCACAGGCAGAGAGTTTCTCTTCTGGCCCTCCACAGGCAGAGAGTTTCTCTTCTGGCCCTCCACAGGCAGAGAGTTTCTCTTCTGGCCCTCCACAGGCAGAGAGTTTCTCTTCTGGCCCTCCACAGGCAGAGAGTTTCTCTTCTGGCCCTCCACAGGCAGAGAGTTTCTCTTCTGGCCCTCCACAGGCAGAGAGTTTCTCTTCTGGCCCTCCACAGGCAGAGAGTTTCTCTTCTGGCCCTCCACAGGCAGAGAGTTTCTCTTCTGGCCCTCCACAGGCAGAGAGTTTCTCTTCTGGCCCTTCACACACGTGCAGCTTCCCCCCAGTCCTATGCTACTTCTGAAAGACATCCAAGGATCTTGACTACCTGACCCATCATCCCCACTGTCTGATCTGAGCCACTGACCACCAACCCCTGCTGTACCCCATCTTCCTGCTTTCTGCCTCACCCCTTGTTCTAACCCTTCAGTCAACTATAACACCCTCTTGTCTTGAACTCTGTCAAACTGAGAAAAAGTCATGCTCCCGCCATAGCCTCCACGAGCTGGCCTCTGTGACCATCGAGGCAGACCTTTCATCTCACTGACCTCACTAGTCACTCCCTCCCTTCTAGTCCTGTGGACTCAGCAGGCGTGACTGCCTCAGGCCTTTGTTTCTGTCCTTTCCTTCAATGTTTACTTGAATGTCATCTTTCCACTGCACCTGAGTGGACGAAGGCAGAGCTCCCCACTGTGGCAGTGCAACAGTAACGCTGGCACAGAGGAATCACTCATGATAAACTCAAAGATGAGGAAAAGGAAGGAAGCAGTGGATAAGCAAATGAATAGCTCTTCCCATCTATTCTAGTTTGGTCTCTGTTGCCCTGATAAAACACTGACCAAAATCAATTTGGCAGGGGGGAGGGGATAATTTGGCTTACAGGTTACAGTTCATCATCAAGGAAAACCAGGGCAGGAGCTCAAGGCAGGAACCTGGAGGCAGACACTGAAGCACAGACCAGCCAGGAATGCTGCTTACTGACTTGCTCCTTTTAACCGGCCTACCTATCTTCCTTATTATACAGTGTCGGTCCACCTGCCCTGGGATGGCCCCACCCACAGTTGGCTGGGTGTCCCCACATCAATCAACAATCAAGAAAAAGGCTGGCGAGATGGCTTCACAGTTAAGAGGGCTGGATGATCTTGCAAAGGACCCTGATTTGGTTCCCACGTGGCGGCTAATAACTGTCCTTAACCCCAGGGGATCTCTTCTGGCCTCCACAGTCACCAGGTATGCATGAGGTGCACTAACATACATGCAGGCAAAACACTCATACACACAAAAAATAAAATCTTAAAAAAAAATTCAAGGTCATCTTAGCTACATATCAAGTTCAAGGCCAGCTTGGAATACACAAGCCCTGTCTCATAAAGGGCTGTCAAGACAGTTCAGAGGATAAGAGTGCTTAACACCAAGCCTGATGATCTGTGTTTGATCCCCAGGACACACAGGAAGGAGAGAACAGACTCCTGCAAGTTGCTCTCTGATCTCCATACATGAGCCATGGTATGTGCACCACCCACCCCTGACAAATAAAGAAATGTGCTAAGAAAACTACTTCTATTTACTTTTTTTTCCTGTAGCCCTAGCTGACCTGGACCTCACTATGTAGACCAGGCTGGCCTTGAACTTACAGAGATTTGCCTGCCTATATTTATTTTTTAAAAAGAATAAATAAATACTAAAGGGCAAGAGACATTTCTTCAAAGATGATATAATGATTGCCAAATAAGCACATGAAAAGATACAAATCAAAACCAGAGTGAGGTAGTACTTCACACCCACAAGGGTCATTACTATGAAAAAAGCAGAAAATACTGTAGTGAGGATATGGAGAAACTGGATTCCTTGTACACCATTGGCAGAAATGTAAAATGGATACAGCTGCTGTGGAAAACAATACAGTGGTTCCTTCAAAAGTTGAAAATAGAGGTGTATTAGTTATTTTCCTATTGCTGTGACAAAACACTGTAACCAAGGGACCATTTAGAAGGAAGAGTTTATTTGGCTTACAGAAATCTCTCAGTGGTTAAGAGCACTGGCTGCTCTTGCAGAGGACCTGGGTTCAGTTCCCAGAACCCACATTGTGGCTAACGACCGTCCATAACTCCAGGTCCAGGGGAACTGATGCCCTCTCTGGCCTCTGCAGGCACTGCACACATGAGTGCATTTGCATACTTATAGGCAAAACACTTATACACATACAAAAATTAAAAACAGAATTAGCCATACGATCCAGCAATTCTGGGCTAGTGGGATGGTTCAGTAGGTAAAGGTGCTTGCTGCAAAACCTGATAAATCTGAGTTCAGTCCCTGGGACCCACATGGTAAAAGGAAAGAACCAACTCCTGAAAATTGTCCTCTCCCTCCACATAGGTGCCTAGCACTTGCAGGCCCACATACATACACAGACACAGGCACACATATAGACACACATAGACACACAGACACACAGATATGCACACACTAAATGTAAAAAACATCCAGCAATTCCACTTATGACCATATCCTCAAAGAACTAGAAGCAGAGTCTTTCAGTAGTATTTGCACACAAGTATCAACACTGTTCACAATGAGTAGAGAAGGGGCGGGAGTGAGCCAGATGAGTGGGTAAGGAAAAGGGGGACATACATACAATGGAACATTCTTTAGCATTAAAAAGGAAGGAAATACAAACACACGCCACAACTTAGACAAACCTTGAGTGAAATATGCCAGACACAAAGGACAGATCGTGAGAGATTCTTCCTAGATGAGGCACTCAGAGTAGGAGAAGGCAGACAGGAAACAGAACAGTGGTTCTCAAGAGCTGGGGAGCAGGGTGGGGAGTCCCTGCATAATGTGTACAGTTTCATTTTGGCAAGATGAAAACGATCAGTGCCCACTATACATTCCACAGCAGACATTGTAGGGTTGTCTGTGAGGTTTAAGGTTTTTGTTTTTTTTTTGTCTTGAAACAGGGTCTCCATGTAGCTTCAGCTGGCCTGGACCTCACTACATAGACCAGGGTGGTCTCAATCTCACAGAGATCTGTCTGCCTGGTTTTAAGATCTTTTAAAATTTTTTTCATTTATTCATCCTATTTGTGTGTGTGTGTGTGTGTGTGTGTGTGTGTGTGTGTGTATGTACCAGTGTGCACACATGCCTTAGTACTTGTATGGAGGTCAAAGGACAACTTGGAGTCATTTCTCTCCTTCTACCATGTGGGTTTCAGGGACTGAACTCAGGTCATCAGGCATGGTGGCAAGCACCTTTACCTGCTGAGCTATCTTGCCAGCCCTCAAGTTCTTTTCACAATAATATGACATGAAAGCGTCATTCAAAGTCAGGTCTGTACAGGTCTGTAATTCCCACATGTGAAAGGGAGGCTGAGGCAGGAGAATGGTGTTTCGAGGATAGCCTGGGCTGCATAGCAAGATCCTATGTCATAAAAAAGAAAGGAAAGAAAACAAAAACACCATTTTCTTTTGTCAGTGGGATGTGTTTCCCTGACTGTACAGGAGCAACTGTGCTGGAAGTCATCACATGCCACCCCTTCCTGCTCCCCGCCCTTTTTTGTTTCACTGCCCTTTCAGTGGGTCTTTAATACATATTCTCCTCACTTCCTCCTTCTCCCTCTGTTGCTACAATGGAACCCAGAACCTTGAACATGCTAAGCCCTTGCTCTATCACTGAGCTACCCCCAGCCCCACAGCATGGGATATATCACAAAGGACTTTTCACCACACAGGATGCATTATGACGACTGTCTTTAGGAAAAGCGTTCCTGTAGTTGTTTGAACTGTGAGCTGAACTGGTCACATTTTTCATGGCATGCTATTTTCACTTAAAAGAAATACTGACAATTGAATTACAGCTATAAAGATTTAAGTGTCTGGCACACATATTCTCAAAAATGAATGAAGTGCATCTGTCATGTTTCCAGCAAAGTGATAGCACTTCTTGCTAATGATAAAATTCAAGCTTTCAAGTAAAAATCAGAATTTGGGGAAACGTGTTACTGCTGTGAGCTTGGTGGCTTTCAGTGAGGTGTATGGTGATATGCAGTGAATAGGATTTTGTAAAACAGTATATACTTCAATATTTGGAAGACCTGCATTTCTTCCCAAAGGACCAATGCCTGATGTTTTAACATCATACTTGGATAAAAGATACAAAGTACAATAGCGGGCTGGAGAGATGGCTCAGTTGTTAAGAGCACTTGCTGCTCTTGCAGAGAACCTGAGTTCAGTTCCTAACACTCACTTCACATAGCAGCTTACAACTGCCTGTAACTCCAGCTCCAGGGGGTCTGATGCCCTCTTCTGGCCTCCCTGGACACTGACATGCATGAGCACATACACTCATAAGACACACACACATAAACAAATTTTAAAGATAAATCTTGGGCTAGAGAGATTGCTCAGAGGTTAAGAGAATGTACTGCTCTTGCAGAGGACCCAGTTTGTGTTCCCAGCACTCACATCAGGCAGCTCACAACAACCCATAACTTCAGCTCCAAGAGATCTGATGCCTTTGGCCTCCTGGGGTACATGTGGACATAACTACACACAGATGATACACACACATAATTAAAAATAAAATAAAAAATAAGAAAATAAGTCTTAAAAACAACAGTGCAGTAGAGTCGGATTTTGATGCAGTGGAAGTTTCACTAATATACTTTTGACTGTAATCACCACTAACTTCAAGATATGGCCTTTACTGGAGTTCTGGTTAGTATGTAAAAGGAACAGTCACAGTTGTTTGAAAAGATGAGACTCCTTTTCCAAGTATACTCTGGAAACCTGTATTTTTTCGTCAGCTTCAAAAAGACAAAATACAGGTTTAGACTGGATGTGGATGATGGGAATCCAGCTGTCTTCTGTTGAACTAAGCATTTTGGAAATTTGTCATCATACAAAAAAAGTCACTCTTCTTACTTTGAAAAAAAATTATTTTGTTCCAGGTGTGGTGATGTATGCCTTTAAATCCCAGCACTTGGGGGAGGGGGAGTATAAGCAGGTGATCTCTGTGAGATCGAGATCAGGCTGGTCGATGTATCAAGTTTCAGGCCAGGTGGGGCTGCAGGGAGACCCTGTCTGTAAAACAAACAAACAAAAATATTTATTTTGTGCATATGCACACGCACTCTTGCAACACTGCACATGGGGAGGTCAGAGGACAACTTGTCGGAGTCAGTTCTCTCTTTCCACCACGTGGGTCCTAGGGATTGAGCTCAGGTTGCCAGGTTTGACAGCAAGCATCTTAACCCATTCAGTCATCTCACTGGCTTCAAATATGTTGTTACACTGACAATCATGATTGTTCATTATTTGAAATTACATAAAGATTAAAATGTGTCCATTTTAATATGAATGTAAATGTCAGTATATATAAACCCACTAATCAGGGTTCACTGGAATTCTCAAGATTTTGGGGTGTGATAGAGATCCTGAAACCAAAACTTTGAGAACCAGCAGGCACATGAACTTATATTGCAGTAACCATTATTAGGCAGCAGGTGGCAGCAGAGGCAGCCAAATGAAAGCAACTGCATTCTACAGTCAAGTCATTACACACCTGCTGTGTGTGACCCATGCCCTATGCTGGGGACTCTAAAGTAGGTCTGACAAGGAATCTTGTCCAGGGACTAACAGCCCTGTAATTAGTTCAAAGTAACGCTTGCTCTGATGAGTGGCCAAGGGTGCTGGGGAAAGGTCAGTCAGTGTATGGTCAGGATCCCTGGGCCAGGATGGCAGTCAGAGAGGAACCTAAGGTCCCTAAGCTTTCCAGGTGAGTGTGAGTAGGGATCCAGAAGGAGAAGAGGGAGCCAGGCTTCATTAACCTGACACAGACTTCCCAAAGACACCTGACTCTGTCCCAAGACACAAGGGGTCCTATCGATCCTCCTCACCTGTCCTTGTCTCCTCTTTGGTCCTCCATCTCTGAACAACGCTGCCCTAGTACTGCCTCTCTTCAGTGCCAGGTCAACTTCCTACCCCAACCTCCTCTGTCACACAGTGTCCAGCTTTCAGTCCTCCACCTCTGCCTCTTCCTCCAGCTCCATCCTAACATGCAGTCCTTTGTCAGCTGCTCTGGAAGGGCTGTCCCATCACCAAGCACTCCTCTGTTCCCACCTCAGTCTCCACTCACATCCTTCTCTCTCATCACCCACGGTCCTGACAGCCCACCCAGGATGTTTCATCCCGGACTTCCTTAGCCCCTTCCTATACTTCCTTCCTCTTCCCTGAGTGAAACTCTCCACTGCCCTTCCCTGCTGGTTTTCCTGCTTCACCTTTGGTGAACCCTCCAACCTTGCTCT